GAATGAACGTGTGCCGGAAGAGTGTCTAGTTTGTAAAGTCCGTTGTGAATTGAGCCTGTTACAACGGGGTTATCAGCGATATTGCAGTTTTCTTTTAAATATATGTTACATTTTGAATCATCAAAAGTGATTACAAAACCCTTGCGACATAATGTACTAACGGAAAGAAGATTCGTGCTTAAGATTGGAATGTAAAACCTCGTTAATCTTTCTGGGTCGTGGATCTCCCAAAATATTTACACTGACATACCCGCTATTTGTGTTAAGTAGAGTCAATTTTTTGTCTCTCAGATTTTTGAAAATCTTCAATCCAGTGTTTATTTTTAGACATGTGTTGGATAGCACCCGAATCTACCAATGTACCATGTATTTGCCTTTGCCATGAATACTGATAACATTCCCCAATCAGTTTTCTTTGTAGAATTTTTCGAAAATTTAGAATCACTACGTTTAGTTTCAGAACGGATCTTTTTACAATTGGATACCGTGTGACCTTTTTTATTGCTGCCGAAAGAGACGACATCCTTTTTGAAATTTTTTATAGGAATGTTTCGGCTCACCTTTAGTAGTAAATGCAGCCTCACTGGAAGTAGGTTCTAGTAAGTACATAATATCATTTTGATTACTATTAAACTAATTGATAACTATTAAACTAATTGAAAATAAGATAACTATAATTGAGTAAATAAATAGATAAAATAATCTCTAAAAGTGTGGAATGGTCCAAAAGGTAAAATTCGATCTAGCGCATATTACGCTAGAGTCAGCTTAGTTTAGTTGCAGGTTTTGACGGAGTCATCATCTCCGTTAATGTCATTGTATCCACTCGGGACCGATGCCTCAAGCGCCGTGGATGCTCCAGAGGAGAGCACCCCTGTTTCCGCGAGGCGCTATTGTCGGGTCCCCGTGACGTACACGTCACGAGACTACGCGATCGTCTCCGAGACGATCAGCCGGTTCATCAGGTCAACCTGATGAGACGCGCAGCAAGGCGAGCAGGCGATTGTTCCAAGGGTTCCAAGCTCCCAGGGCGCCTATAACAAAGCCATCGACATGAACGATGTAACCGCGCCCGCGCATGGAGTCGGCGAGGAGCTGATACTTAAGTACCTTTTCCAACCTCACCTTTTCCAGCGCTTCGAAAGTATTTTCGAAGGGCACGGTCACATCGATCATGACGACGGTTCTCAACGACTCATGCGTCACCACGAGGTCGGAACGCATGACCGCGAGATCTTCGTCCACGCCTGGGACTGTCTTGTTCACCCTTAGGTCGCCCGGGAGCCTGGAGGCGGTTGTGCCGCAATTGTCGAGTGGCTGCATGGGGACCGCAATGGCAGAGCACATGGTGACAAGGTCTCCGACTCACGTCAAGGCGCGCATGGTGAATGAAACGCCAGTCGGCGAAGCGGATATGACTCCCTATCCACATGAAGTGATTGCTCACTCCATGGCGGGTGGTTGCATCAAAGACCTTACTCTGATCTTTTTTACTTAACAAACGCAACGCGTAGTGCTCCGCGAGAGCGGCCCTCATGTGGCTGATGACTTGCTGCTTGGCGGTCAGGGGAATGATCACGCTCCGATCGCCGCGTGCCAGACACTCCAGAGCGAGCAAGGTCGCGTCAGTCAGGGTCCCAACGCCACCGGAATCCCAGCCGCCGAGCTGATCTCAACGCAAAGATCTTACATTAGACCAAATCAAACAGGTCCCGCGACCTGTGGAGGGGAGGGCTAGATCCCCCTCGAGCGAGCCCGAGAGGTAGCCCGCGATGTCCCTCTCCGCTGCCGGCCGCCGGATCTTGTCGCGAACGGCTTTTTCCAGCACTGATCTGGCAATCCGTGCAATCGTCGGGTCATCAGCATTTAGCATCCTGAATGCATGAGCCACGGCGGTGACGTCCGCCAGGTCGGCCAGCGGCAAGATGCCACATCCACATGGGGGGGGGGGGGGGGGG